CCTCCCCTTCCCCTCCCCCCACCACCACCCAAAATGATGATCTCCAAACCCCTCCGTGCCATCCTTCATCATCCTCGCAAGAACATTACAACTCAAACAAAGCTCCACCCCAATCCCCCTCCGTAGAATCTCCCTCCTCACCCCCTCCGGAACATGAATCACATGTCCCACCCGATCCGGATTCCAACTAAGTAACGTGCTCAACTCCTCAGAACCCTCTTTGATACGCATCTCCGCAAAATGCAGCACGATGCCCAATCCCGCAGCCTTAGCTTGTTTAAATACCGGTGCGAAGATGGAGATATCCCCTTTCGAGGGGTCACCACACAGATCCAGACCCACGACGCCTTGGTCTTTGTATTTGAGTGCGAGAGCGAGGGCTTCCGCGGCTTGGGCGGGGGTGTTGCGGCGGTCGACGGAGATGAGGAGTCGGCTTTGCATGGGCGAGGTGGTGTTGAATTCATGTAGGACGGAGAGGATGGTGGAGATGTAGAGGTCTTTGGTGATGTTGGAGGAGGGGATGGCGCGGGGGGTGGTGCGGAGTTCGAGGTAGATCACGCCGTCCGAGGCGAAGGAGTGGAGGGCTGAGAGGGTGGTGGTGCGGATGGAGGGGAGGTCGGTGATGAGGTTGTATATGCATTTGGAGAAGAGGGGGAAGAAGCTGGGTGGGTGGTTAGAGGGGTGGAAATGGGGGGTTGAGGGTAGAAGATGGGGTTTTGAGGGGATGGTATGGAGATAGAGCTCTAGGAAAGTGAGAAAGTAGTTGGCTCAAGCCAATTTTGTTGGGTGCCTTCATTGAGTGTATATCAAAATGTTACTCTTTTGACAATTGAGGTGCCAAGGGATCCTCATAAAACACCACAACAAAATTATATGAATAAACTCACGTTTCCAAATCATAATCGTGTTTTCCAGCAGGCATCTCAATCAAAGGATCCGGTAAATCGGTCTCTCCACGCTCCACTTTCTGAAGCCAAACTTCGTGGAGACATTCTCGGCTGATGCTACCACTAAGATGTGCATGTAACTAAATATGCTTCAGCTTGCTATCCATCATCCCAACATTTAGATAACACAAGAGAAATTTAAGAGAAAAGAATATGCAACAATTTAACCATTGGTCGCTTAATGCAGCAACCTCCTGATGAGTAGAATGAAATATTGCCAACAATAGAAAAAAGAAGCGTTGTACCACAGTTCAACAGAAGTACATGTACAGTACGCTTTCGTGTCCCCTCGATTTTCCCGCAAAGTCCGAGAGATCGAGCAAGCAAGCGCTGCTTTGTACGACATGCATAAGCAAAAATGCCAAGTCAAGTCAAGTCCAATCCAAGCGGTGTCTTGTGCCGCTGACCAGCACAATGAAGAGAAATAGAATGCTGACCAAAACAATTGTCTATGCATGCTAACAGCAATCTCGAAATTACAAGCAGGCAAACAAGCCCTACGAGCGCAGAGCAAACAAGGATGCGGTGTTCCCACAAACGAACCGCCCGATTATCATATGCAGCCAGAACATCAACCACCTCCTAGGCGCATCTGACAATCAAGTTCATGTCGTGTACCCCCCTCGGGTCGGCAACTAGGATATAGGTGCATCCAACACTTCTCCGAGACTTTTTTTGGGGGGCAACTATGAAAATGCAGAATGACGCTTACCTCAATTTTAGGCAAAGCCCGGAAGTCCATCTCGGGGGCCTCCATGAGGAAAATCGGTAAGTTGAAGGTGATACTGAAGAGTCAGAATTCGTCCACCAAAAACGGTGCTAGAGTCGATCTTGTTGATGTAGATTACTCGACACGAGTCGTTCTGAGGTCTTTGAAGTTTCAAGGATGAGTTCGATACTCGTCTCGTACCTGCCGTAGGTGGGATGGCTGAGTCAGGATGAGTGGGATGTCGAAAATGATAAAGAGGGGTTTTGGGGCCTTTACCAACGACTTTTGCATCTTCCTGCAACGTGAACTTAATTCCAGTATCTTGGATAGGAGACCCGCTGAGAAGGAGGACTCTGGATATCGATGTTTACCATTCTACCAGGTTTGGCGAGTTGGTAGAATCAGTCTTCAGAAGATTCTGGTGGGGGGGGAGGGGGGCGTTAATCCCCTTCTGTCACTCGGCTTGAAGAAAGACGTCGACGCAAGAAGTTATAAGGGTTGGTATATGACTTCCCGTTACGACCGCAGTAGTGTACCGCTGCCTTGGACTTGTAGAAAAGCCTCCAAGTACGTATGGGGATCATTTAGTGATTGGGGTGGCGCAACGACGGGTTGCAGCCACAATCCGATCTTTCATCGTCATTCGCTCTATCGGTCCCTTGGGCCAATAATACCAATATTTATGGGATCACGCCGTGCCACACCATGAGATGGTCTAGTTACTGTAGTTGGTCGTGAGTTGGCTCTCGAGCCTTTCCATCCCTCTCCCTCTCCCTCTCCCTCTCCCTCTCCCCCTTGCAAGGACGGAGATACGATGATGACCAACCCAATTACTCACTGCTTCGACCGAGACTCCCAGAATTATTAATGGCCAAAACCTCTAACCCGTGAGCAAAATGTAACCAGCAACCAGGGCGAGTGATCACCAGGATCTTCTTCCCTCTACGTCCCCTCTGGGAGTTCTGCACGACGAGCGTGAGACGAGGGGGGAAGTTTGGGAGAGGTGATGTGCTGGGGATCTTCGGCAGCCCATTGAAAGATAGCCTGTTTGGTGGCCTTTCTCATCAACCCCTCACCCCCACGACCAGACCCAGACCCCAGGAGTGTCCAGGAATTTGCAGACGCCTCCTTCCGGAAGCGCCTTCGTCCACTCGCGAGAGTGTGCGACTGACACTCTCCGTTTGCTGGTACTGGGTGGGATGGCTGCATCGCGTCGGATACGTCCGTAGTTGGGTAGTTACCAAGAGAACGGTCGCTTAGATTCAGTGCAGTGCATTTGGAGGGGCGAAGGGGAGGGTGGAGGGGAAGGGAAGGATACAGTCAAGGCGTACGCTTTACAGTAGCCTCTAGACTTTTGGAGTGTGGCTGGCACTAGTCCTGACAGAACGCTGGCGAGAGTAGGTAGGTTAATTGTAGGTGTGGAAGAGAACCGAGGTGTACAAGAGGGTCAGAGGGGGGAACAAGGCATGTACAAGTAAGTACGGTAATGTGTGATTCCCCGTACATGAGCTGGAGATTTGCAAACCCGGAAATGATCTTGTAATTTGACGCTAACATGTCCATCTCCATGTCCATCTCCATGTCCATCTCCATGTCCATCTCCATGTCCATCTCCATGTCCATCTCCATGTCCATCTCCATTGCATCCCAACAGAATGCTCCATCGCTGGTGTTGAACTTGGCTGCTGCAAGTGCAAGTGCAAGTGCAGCTCAATCGCATTGAGAGATCATGAAGAGAAATTGCGAGTGTGTGCATCGCATCGCCGGTGCTTGGTTCATGGTCATCTGCGATGGGCAAGGAAGTCGAAGTTTAATTTTCTGCAAGCAGGCAAGACATTTTACTCCGCAATCATCAAAATAAATCACCCGAACATGGTGAGATGGCGGAGATCAATCGGGATCCCTCGGCAGTCGACACTCGATACTCGTACTTGGATCATCCACAGATGATGCTTTGGAGAGACCGTCCAAAGTGATGTGGAAATGGACGTATCGCAGTAAAGGGTGAGGTGAGGGAGGATGTGGATGAATTGACTTCGGTAAAAATACCGGCAGCCGCACTCTCACTCGTCAGAAAGCGAGGGTTGCCTGGAGAGAAATCAGGGGAGCTGATGAAAAGCGGGGTGGAGTTGGCTGGTGCTGGTTTTCTCCGTAGCTCAGCAGCCAAGTAGCGTAGCTAGCTACACGAGTAGGCACAAAGTGCGATAGGATCAAGTGTGTGAACCATCAAAACCTCTTGTTCCATCCATTCCTTGCCTTCCAGATCTAGACCTGTACGTACCTACTGCTAGTGCTACTACTAGTGCTAGTGCTGCTGCTACTGCATATACTTCTACTTCTACCAGACCACGTACCCCTTCAAGTACTGATGGTTAGGGCTGACGAGGGAGGCTTTTGTCAGAGAACTAGGTACTCAAGTACTCCAAACAGTCTCTGCCGCCACAGATGCTAAGAAGGCATCTAACGCATCTGACGGATGGCGCCTCGTACTAATCCCCAAGAATGCTCTCTGACTGTACATCTCGTATATCTCTCGCCTTGTATGCGGCTTTGGCACAGCTTACTCGTATCAGTACCATACTTCGTACTTCGTAGATTACTTTGTTCTGCTCATAGAAGACTTCTATTCCGTACCTTCGTGCCTAAATTACGCTCATACACCCCCTTTGCCGCGCCAACAACAGCTAAAAAGGCGTTCCCCCCCACAAATACAGAGCATACGTGAAGTGCCGCCGGTCTAACCGCGCTGGGCCCTATCCAAGTGATCCAACGTATGAAAACTGTACGCGGCACGCCATCCTTCTCCAATCCAGAAATGCAACAATTGCATTCCAACTTGACCACCACTTCATGGTAATTGCTCCTGCGGTAAAGCTGCCGTGGATTCTGACGTGTGTCGCGAGTGCGAGACGCTGGCCCTCCTGTAATAATCTGTACGCTCTGTACGGAGTACTCGTACGCATTTGACGCATTTGCATTTCGAATAGGAGCGAATGAAGGGTTGCAATCGTTCCATGACCAGTAACGACCTTGCACCTCGTCTCCTTGGGCCATCGAGCCATCGAGCCACGGCCCCATGTTCGTTTCCTCGGTCGCAACTGCCCGCAAAGGTAGTCCCGCCATACCCTAGCTCCGGCTGCATTTGCTGCTCAGTGCTCCGCTCCGCTGCAAGACAGACGAACCACCGCCCTCCAAGCGGCACTGAGAACTACGGAGGACGTACGGAGGAGGTAGCATGGAGATGATCCGGGTGGCCGTTGACATGAACGGTGAAATGAGTGTCTTCAAGTACCTCGTACCCGACCGACTCTAGGTCATGGAGAAGGTGCACGTGTGCGCTACGCTACTTCTGCGCTTCTGCTGGCGGTGGCAGCGTCGACCAACGAACGCATTGAGTGCTGTCCCTGCCTGTCCAGTATCGCAGGCAAGTCTAAGCTAGAAACAATTATCGACTGCCGCTTTTGGCAAGAACGGCTCTCCAAGCGCACTGAGCCTAGCCCCGATTAGGTTTGGTGCCGAGGTGGGTACCGGTATCTTTAGGAAATAACGACCTCGTCGCCCTCGACCTGAAAGTGCAGGCAGCAGAGCCAACTGGTGCCCATAGCAGCAGCAGTCGCAGCCAAACTCGCAGCAACCTACGGCCCGCCGCTCTTGCCATCTCCCCATCCACTAATCCACTAATCCACCAATCCACCCAATCCACCCAATCTATCCCCATCCCAATTCAACTGCCCAGCAGCCCAGCAGCCCAGCAGCCCAGCACCAGCAAGCAAGCACTCACTCACTGCACTCTGCACTGCACTGCACTGCACTCCACTCCACTCACTGCAACTGCATTGATCCATTCCGACCATTCCAGTGCACTCGTCCCTCCCTCTGCCTCCCTCTGCCTCCCTCTGCCTCCCTCTGCCTCCCTCTGCACTCTCTCTGCTGCAGGTGCCTCCTCACCTCCCGAAAAAGCCTACTAACCAAAACCGCCCTAAGCTAAACCTGCCTACCCTACCCGGCCGCCCAATCTCTGAGCTTCGCGTCGCTTCCGCTTCCTCAACTTCAGTCGTCTCGTCCCTCAATTGACGCAAGCAAGCATCGAGATCCAAACCTCCTCATCGCTGCGAGCCTCAATTCCACCCCCTCCCCCCCAGAAAACACACACCCCCCCTTCAGCTCCCTGGAGCTTCATCACAAGATACCCCGTCGTGTCGCTGCTTCGGCGATCGTTGACTGCTGGCCCTTCAACTCTGCCCACCCGCGGTTTCGAGAGTCCCTCCCTCGGCAAGCCAATCCTCCGTTTGGCGCAACCCCTTACCACCTACCTAGCCTCATCCTCATTCCAATTTCTAACTTCCGTCGACGGACTTCTCCTCCCACCGACAACCACCACGACAACACCAACATACCTTCCGAGTCGGTCCTCACCACCTCGCCATCATGTCCATGTCGGAAGTTACCCCGGAGGCGATGCAACAGCGCATCCAGCAGGCGCGGCGAGAAGCAGAGTCGTTGAAGGACAGAATCAAGCGAAAGAAGGATGATCTGGCTGATGGCACGCGTAAGTGACAACTCATCCTCCATAGATCCAATTCAATGGCTTCATCTCACGATGACAACGGGCGTGTCGCTATGGTGGGCTAATCATCTATCTGCAGTTTCGAATATCGCCAAGAGTCAACAGGAGGCCTTGCCCCGAAATCAAATGATGAGAACGAAGAAGACGTTGAAGGGTCATCTTGCCAAAATTTACGCCATGCACTGGTCGACTGATCGAAGACATCTCGTATCCGCCTCGCAAGATGGAAAGCTAATCATTTGGGATGCCTACACAACGAACAAAGTCCACGCCATTCCTCTGCGATCATCGTGGGTCATGACATGTGCCTATGCTCCAAGTGGTAACTATGTGGCATGCGGTGGTCTCGATAACATTTGTTCGATCTACAATTTAAATCAAGCGCGCGATGGACCACAAAAGGTTGCTCGAGAATTGTCCGGTCACTCGGGTTATCTATCCTGCTGCCGCTTTGTCAACGACCGATCCATTCTCACATCCTCCGGCGACATGACTTGTATGAAATGGGATATTGAATCTGGGCAAAAGGTCACCGAATTCGCCGACCACCTGGGTGACGTGATGAGCATCAGCATAAACCCTACCAACCAAAACACATTTGTTTCCGGTGCTTGTGATGCATTCGCAAAGTTGTGGGATATCCGAGCTGGCAAGGCGGTTCAGACATTTGCTGGCCACGAGTCCGATATTAACGCGATTCACTTCTTTCCAGATGGTCACTCGTTTGTCACTGGTTCTGACGATGCTACATGTCGCTTATTTGATATTCGAGCTGACCGGGAACTGAACCAATATGGAGTAAGTAGCATATGTATGAAATCTCAACGTGAACTAATCATCTTGCAGAATGAATCAATCCTTTGCGGTATTACCTCTGTTGCGACATCCGTCTCAGGCAGACTCCTCTTTGCTGGATACGACGATTTTGAATGCAAGGTCTGGGACATTACGAGAGGAGAGAAGGTTGGATCTTTAGTGGGCCACGATAACCGCGTCAGCTGTTTGGGTGTCAGTAATGATGGCATGAGTTTGTGCACTGGATCTTGGGATTCATTGGTAAGTTCACCGACTTTTCCAACCAATTTTTTTCTTCTTCCACTAACCCCCCACACTAGCTCAAAATCTGGGCAATGTAATACCATCATCTTTCATGTATATCAGCGAATTCAATCGGCGTTCTTTCCTCTTGTTGTGCAGAGCAACCTTTAAGCTTGGAAAAGCTTCCCCGATTCGACCCTCATCCACGGATGCCCTTTAATCATCTATACCAGATACGACCTTTAATCTCTGCGGCTTGGCGTAGACTGGACGACCTTACGAAGACCCACTCGAAGCTCAGAGAGACAGTTTTTCAATACTGAGCTGTTGATCTGACCGGACTGTGAGGATCTCGACAGCTGGTTGCGACATCTGATTCTTTGATCCATAATTCCTCTTTCCATTATTCTTGTTTGTATTGGGCGGGTCGATTGCATTGCCTCGCGTCCCTTTTCTCGGTGTGTCTTTGCGATGATATCCTACCGAGACAACTAGGCCCAGACACTTTTTCAGCCTTTGCACAACTGTTTATTTTTTCCCCGCCTCTTTCGACATAACATTGCTTTTTCTGTTTCTTTTTTTTTTTGTTTCCTTGTTCATTGCACACAAAAAGCTCTCGCAGCAGCTGTCTCGGTGGGGTGGTCTGTAGCGAGTCATGGTCCACTTTTTTTTCCAAGTCGAAATGTTTGTGATAGTGGGTGGGTAAATGCGAGAGAGGACCAAGGTTTACACGTTGCCGCGTTTGGAAGACAAATAGGTCTGGGAGGGGGTGTGTACTGAATGATGGTTTATTTTTTCTGCGAGGAGACATGATGGGAAAGTGATGGATCGTGGTAGTCAAATGAAGCTATTGTGGAAAAAGAGAAGTTTTACTGTGGTTAAGCTTTGTGTTTCTTTTTTGTTGCCGACTACTCATCCTTCGTCAATCACTGAAGTACGGTCAAGAATTCAAGGTTGGCGTTGGTTTGGGGAGTTTTTTTTTTGCAAATGCTTGTACGATAGGACTAAATGCAGCAAACTTCATAGATATTATACATTGTTTTTCCCAGGCAATGGTGTTTTTTTCTTTTTCTCTTCTTTTCTGTTCTTTTCTTTTCTTTTTCTTTTCTTTTGAGAGAGAGAGAGACGAGATGGAAGGAGCGAGTTTTGCTCTTCTGGTATTGGTACTGTACTGGAAGTTGTGATGAAAAACGAACGAGGGAGAGAGAGACAGGAGTAGAACCCTTTCCCCCCCCCTTTTTTTTTGTCTGTTCGATTTGTTTCGATTTTTTTTTTCTTCTGCTGTTGGGCAGGAAGTTGTTTGGTTAGGTATATCTTCTTTTCTTTTCCTTTCCTTGAATCACGCGGATGTTGTTGTGTTGTTGGGTTGGGTTGGGTTGGCGTATATTTTGGGTTTATGTTATAGTAGATTGAGTGAGACGCGGGGGCGCGAGGGGGGACG